TTTTCACTAATATGTTTAGTGGAAACCACTCTCCGGAGGCATCATGGGAAGGGGGCTGGCCACATGGCCTGGCAAGAGCCACCATTATGATGACCTCATTGGTATGCTGAGCAAGTCACCTGTTCATCATCAGCATCACCAGCCATGTTCTAGCCACTGCCAGATGAAGGCCTCTCCAAGCCTTCATTCATCCTCCCGAGATGCTACAATCCATCGTGTCCCTGTACGTGAGCTGAGGCGCCATCGTGACGAGATGTTAACTGCCTCACCTGGTATATAGGAGGCTCGTGGATTCGATCCCAAAACTTGACGCCTGTATATTTGCAATTTGCATGGTCTTCCCGTGGTCGCGTGGATTTTTCTTTGGGCCCTCTAGTTTTTCCCTCCACATTTAGAAACATGCGTTTAGAGAATTTGGCCGCTATAAATTTCCACATAATCAGTCACTTCGTTAAATTTCGATTTAAAGCTTTCGTGACTGCAATGATTCATCTTCTTTGGTTCTTTCGGTAAAGTCACGTAGAATGAGAATAAAATAATAAATTGATAAAATAAAATAACACAATAATATTCTCACGACGTTTCGGCCACAACACAAGCGGCCTTCATCAGGTGAAGGGAGCGAGACTGTCTGGTAGGACAGCGCTGGAGTGAGAGAGCCACGTTCAGATCACGGCTTTTAAGCTGTGTGAGAGGAACAAAGAGCCTTGACGAAGGAATTAGCATAAAATTTAGCATTGAAAAGGCTGAATGATTAGCTTGTGACTGGTCACAGAAATAGCTATGTTAAAAGTTAAAGCATACACCTCCGCAGAGGCACCCATTGTTAAAAGGAATTAGCATAGAATTTAGCATTGAAATAGCTAAATTAAGGCATTCGCTTGTAACTGCTACAGAAATAGTTACGTTGAAGTCAGAGCATACACATTCACCGAGGCACTTAGTACAAATCAAAACAGGAGAATTTAGCATTTAAATAACTAGGCGAATTTAGCATTGAAATAACTGGGTGATTTGCTGGTGACTGGTCACAGAAATGACTACATATCTGAGCTATTCACAGTACTATATAGTGAACCAATAAAAACTAAAATATAAATTACCTTCATGTTATCAATAAACTCTATATTCTCCAATCAGCTAAGCTACCAACCATAAGTCGTTATATATCACAATGCTATATGGCGAAAAAATGGGTCGATTCTTACCCTGCTAAATTCGCCTAGTTATTTAAATGCTAAATTCTCCTGTTTTGATTTGTACTAAGTGCCTCGATGAATGTATATGCTCTGACTTCAACGTAACTATTTCTGTAGCAGTTACAAGCGAATGCCTTAATTTAGCTATTTCAATGCTAAATTCTATGCTAATTCCTTTTAACAATGGGTGCCTCTGCGGAGGTGTATGCTTTAACTTTTAACATAGCTATTTCTGTGACCAGTCACAAGCTAATCATTCAGCCTTTTCAATGCTAAATTTTATGCTAATTCCTTCGTCAAGGCTCTTTGTTCCTCTCACACAGCTTAAAAGCCGTGATCTGAACGTGGCTCTCTCACTCCAGCGCTGTCCTACCAGACAGTCTCGCTCCCTTCACCTGATGAAGGCCGCTTGTGTTGTGGCCGAAACGTCGTGAGAATATTATTGTGTTATTTTATTTTATCAATTTATTATTTTATTCTCATTCTACGTGACTTTACCGAAAGAACCAAAGAAGACACTTCGTTAAACTTTAATTTGTGACCGGGTCGCTTCTGAAAAAGAGCTACATAGCTCAGTGGGCCTTACCTGGTAAAATAAAAAAATAGTCGTGATAGTAAATAGCGATGTCAGCCGATCGCATTCTTCCACCTCCACGAGGGGCTTTCTTTTCTTTGGCTGCCATTCGGTCACCAGTCTCGTCTGTCGGCCGACACCCCTTGGAGCGATGTGTCCCTGCGCTCGGTCGCTACGACGTCTCCGAGTTGCATCGCTCCGCGTCTCACCTCTCCTCGGGTAAAACTCTTTCTCAGGTGAGAATTCTCAAGTTTGAAAATAAATGTTCCGTGGACTGTTGTTGCACGACACTCAATCTCTGCCTTTACGCCTGCCGACCTCGAGTCTTGACTCTGAATTAACGCCCTGGGTGCACGGATGGTATCTGGCCAGTGTGCAAGGATTAGTCTGCGTGTTGTTTCAGCAGGTGTGCGTTGGGATCATTAAAGCACAGGTTTTGAAGTTTCTTCTTGCAATAGTGTTTTGGTTTAAAGTGCATATTGATTGAGATTGCAGAAATATTGTATTTTATTACCAACATAGCTTCTTTTCCCCTGACAATCAATGAAGGCATTCTTTCCGTCAATGTTGTTGCTCACCAGCGATTACAAAAGGCAAAGTTACTTGCGGGCAATGCAATCCACAGCCAGGATCAGCGGCAGGGTGGCATCGCGGCTCCGCAGGGCGCAGGGCCCGAGGTAGCCTCCACGGCCACCACCTGCGGGCACAGGGCCCGAGGTAGCCTCCACGGCCACCACCTGCGGGCACAGGGCCCAAGATAGCCTCCACGGCCACCACGCCGCTGGGCGCAGGGCCCAAGGTAGCCTCCACGGCCACCACGCCGCTGGGCGCAGGGCCCGAGGTAGCCTCCACGGCCACCACGCCGGGCGCGACCTCTCGCCGGCACCGCGAGGGAGGCAGCGCCGCCTCGTCACGTCGTCCACCCGCACCGCCGGTGGACGCGCCGAGCGACCGCGGCCTCCCACCGGTCCCCTTTTACCCCCATCCCAGAGATGACGGAGATCGTGGCTCTCTCGCCCACCTAACCCCCCTCGGGCCTCACGACTCAACGCCCCGGAGCCGTCCAGCGTGAGCTCTTTTGCCAAGTTCCCACACGAGAGCCTCTGAGCTCAAATGCCTGAGTGCTGAGAAGCACGAGTGTGAAAACACCAAATTGCTGATGCTTGAAGCCCTCCCAACTTGTTACCTGTGGTCTCATTGCTCATACAACACTCTGGGTTTCTTAGGCAGTCTCTGGATGAGCATGGCTCACAGTTGAGCCATTAGGTCCCCACGTGCGTTGCTGTGGCCTGTAGCTCAAGGGGTGAACCGAATCTTTATTTTGCACCTATGTTATGTGTACGTATAACAGCCAATTTGTATGACTTACGTGGTATTGCCAAGCAATCACACAAACATTTTTAATATAAATATTGTTATCACAGTAACATTGTTAACATTAATATTGTTATCACAGTAACATTGTTACCATTAACAATGTTATCATAGTAACATTGTTAACATTAGCATTGTTATCACAGAAACATTGTGACTGCGATTGCTCCTCAGATTATCACCCCACACCTGCGATTATCATGGTTGGTTACGTACGGTTGGAAAGAAGTTCAACATACACACATACATACATTCACAATAGAGGTTTTTTGGGTTAGATAGCGTAAATAAAGAAATGTGTCCTTTAACACGCCTCCACCCGACACAGCCAACAGTAAGGGCGGTCATGTAAACAGAACGTGCCAGTTCGTCACTAGTACAGCACGCCGGTGTGTTGGAGAGCAAAGCCACAATATTTACAATCCGAGTACGACGTTTCGCCAGTCATTACAACCAGCTTCATCAGGCGACATACAGATTTGTTGAGACATTTCTGAAAATTGGTCGCGAAAGTTTGGCATTTTACAACGTGACGGCGCAGGGGGCGTTTGTCCCAGAGGGGTGCCCACCACACCACGTGGTGCCCACCACACCGCGTGGTGCCCACCACACCGCGTGGTGCCCACCACACCGCGTGGTGCCCACCACACCGCGTGGTTCCCGCCACACCGCGTGGTGCCCGCCACACCGCGTGGTGCCCGCCACACCGCGTGGTGCCCGCCGCCCCGCGTGGTGCCCACCACACCACGTGGTGCCCGCCACACCGCGTGGTGTCCGCCACACCGCGTGGTGCCCGCCGCCCCGCGTGGTTCCCGCCGCCCCGCCTGGTGCCCGCCGCCCCACGGGGTCAACGCGAGCGTTCGCCCCTCGCGCGGCCACGGTCACTGACACCACGTGGCTCTGTGGCTGCAAGTGCTGGGCCTGCGCTGCGTTTGCAGGGTCCTTGCCCGTGTTAAAGCGCTCGAAACAGGAGCCGCTATTGCCAGGTGCTACGTTTGCGCCAACTTGAATGTAGTAAGAAGACATGCAACATCTATGGCTCATTGTCCCTTACGAATAGTGGGGAGTGGTGGCGTAGTGGGGAGGGCACCGCGCTATAAACTCGACTCACAACCACGAGAAAGTGACATCTGAACCGACCCTGGGCCCCTTCCCTACGCGACACTGACCAGCGTGGTGAAGTATAACCAAACAACCACCGTGACTGGCACAGCGTGGGGAGACATTCATCCAGCAGTGGATTGACACCGGCCTGCATATCAAGTGTAATAATTTTGATTTGAAGCTGTCGTGACTGCAGGAATCCATACTCTTTGGTTCTTTCGGTAAAGTCACGTAGATGTAAAATAAAATAAATCACGACGTTCCGGGCGCAACACGAACGGTGTGGGAAGAAGTCTCGATTCGTGTCCTTGGGAGCATCGCTTTGGGTTGGGAGCGATGCGAATCGCCTCCTCGGCTCCCTCCAAACCACAAGCGAAGCGGTAACCGGTCAAACTTTATTTACATCGCACGCGCTTCACGCGCATAGCACTGTCTCGGAGCACTTCATGAATAGATAAAAAGCAATACACCTTGTTTATAACTATAAAGCAATATACCCAGGCAATATAATGAAACACTCCTGAGAGCTTATGTTATAATGAAGACCGGTTACTAAAACAAAGGAATAACACTGCGAGCATCGACCTCACGCACCTCACGCATCTGCTGCACACTCTTACGGAGTGGTGGTGGGTCTCTTCATTAACCGTGGCCTGTACCTACACTCGCTGGTGCTCTGACGTTTCACGTCTCCTCTGCCCTGTTGCTGTGGTCCCCATTCTGTATCCCCCCCCCCACCCTCCGTGTAGCGATCTGCGAGCTGGGATGCAAGCACGGAGAGTGTGTGGGGCCCAGCAAGTGCAAGTGCCATCCGGGCTTCACCGGCAAAACCTGCAACCAGGGTACGGCCACCAGTGGGGCAACAGCAGCAGCAGCAGGATCAGCTGTCTGTATCCTCGTGTGTGAATCCCTCACAACAGCAGCAGGATCAGCTGTCTGTGTCCTCGTGTGTGAATCCCTCACAACAACAGGATCAGCTGTCTGTGTCCTCGTGTGTGAATCCCTCACAACAGCAGCAGGATCAGCTGTCTGTGTCCTCGTGTGTGAATCCCTCACAACAGCAGCAGGATCAGCTGTCTGTGTCCTCGTGTGTGAATCCCTCACAACAACAGGATCAGCTGTCTGTGTCCTCGTGTGTGAATCCCTCACAACAGCAGCAGGATCAGCTGTCTGTGTCCTCGTGTGTGAATCCCTCACAACAACAGCAGCAGGATCAGCTGTCTGTGTCCTCGTGTGTGAATCCCTCACAACAACAACAGCAGGATCAGCTGTCTGTGTTCTCGTGTGTGAATCCTCCACAACAGCAGCAGGATCAGCTGTCTGTGTCCTCGTGTGTGAATCCCTCACAACAACAGCAGCAGGATCAGCTGGCTGTGCCCTCGTGTGTGAATCCCTCACAGCAACAACAGCAGGATCAGCTGTCTGTGTCCTCGTGTGTGAATCCCTCACAACAACAACAACAGCAGCAGCTGGCTGTGCCCTCGTGTGTGAATCCCTCACAACAACAACAGCAGGATCAGCTGTCTGTGTCCTCGTGTGTGAATCCCTCACAACAACAGCAGCAGCAGGATCAGCTGTCTGTGTCCTCGTGTGTGAATCCCTCACAACAGCAGCAGGATCAGCTGGCTGTGTCCTCGTGTGTGAATCCCTCACAACAGTAGGATCAGCTGTCTGTGTCCTCGTGTGTGAATCCCTCACAACAACAGCAGCAGGATCAGCTGTCTGTGTCCTCGTGTGTGAATCCCTCACAACAACAGCAGCAGGATCAGCTGTCTGTGTCCTCGTGGGTGAATCCTCCACAACAGCAGCAGCTGGCTGTGCCCTCGTGTGTGAATCCCTCACAGCAACAGCAGCAGGATCAGCTGTCTGTGTCCTCGTGTGTGAATCCTCCACAACAGCAGCAGCAGCTGGCTGTGCCCTCGTGTGTGAATCCCTCACAACAGCAGGATCAGCTGGCTGTGTCCTCGTGTGTGAATCCCTCACAGCAACAGCAGCAGGATCAGCTGTCTGTGTCCTCGTGTGTGAATCCTCCACAACAGCAGCAGCAGCTGGCTGTGCCCTCGTGTGTGAATCCCTCACAACAGCAGGATCAGCTGGCTGTGTCCTCGTGTGTGAATCCCTCACAGCAACAACAGCAGGATCATATGTCTGTGTCCTCGTGTGTGAATCCCTCACAACAACAGCAAGATCAGCTGTCTGTGTCCTCGTGTGTGAATCCCTCACAACAGCAGGATCAGCTGTCTGTGTCTTCGTGTGTGAATCCTCCACAACAACAGCAGGATCAGCTGTCTGTGTCCTCGTGTGTGAATCCCTCACAACAACAGCAGGATCAGCTGTCTGTGTCCTCGTGTGTGAATCCCTCACAGCAACAGCAGCAGGATCAGCTGTCTGTGTCCTCGTGTGTGAATCCCTCACAACAACAGCAGCAGGATCAGCTGTCTGTGTCCTCGTGTGTGAATCCCTCACAACAACAGCAGCAGGATCAGCTGTCTGTGTCCTCGTGTGTGAATCCCTCACAACAGCAGCAGCAGGATCAGCTGTCTGGTCACCGAACAAAGACGGTGGTCACTGCATCGTGCGCTTTCTGACGCGCTTCTGCGGCCGTCTGGAACGCTCTTCCTTGCGATATTAGGAAGCCACTGGAGCTATGTGCTTTGAAATCTCGGTTGAAAAATAATTTCTTTAGCACTGCTTTTTTGTGTTTAGCTTGTTGTCCTACCGTCCCCCAGGCACCTCCGGTTAGCGTGGATGGCTACGTACGGTGCGAAAAAAGTTCAATACACATCCATAGTGGCCGCGTGGGCTGCCTGTGTCAGAAACAAGTTCCGTCCAGTGGAGCCAGCTGGCCCCGTGGGTGGTTCAGGATGTCCCTGAGGTTCACCGCCTGCTTGTGTTGTTCACTGCCTCTGTTTGTGTGTGCGCCACAATGTGTGTCCACGTGAACGTTTTCACGACTCGAAAATGTACGGAGCGCAGTCACTTTGTCACCTCTGGCACGTAAACGACGGCAATTTATGTGATCAAACAGCTTTTTGGAAGCCTTGTTAGCTTTTGTTTTAAGTGCCCTTGCAGTGCTGGTTTGTTTAAGCAAACACAACATTATTTTCTTACAAACAACATCACGCAAACAGACAGCCGCAAGTTTTAACAACACAGCGAAGGCGTTGGGGCTCCCTTGCTTGCTGTCACTGCGTGAGTCGCGAGAGTCGCTCCGGCCCACGGCACGACTCTCCCCGCTAACCACTCGGCTCGCCTCGCTGTCTGTGCGGTGTCTGCTGGGTGCGCTGTGTCTGCTGTGTGTGCTGTCTGTGCTGTGTGCGCTGTCTGCTGTGTCTGCTGTGTGCGCTGTCTGTGCTGTGTGCGCTGTGTCTGCTGTGTGTGCTGTGTCTGCTGTCTGTGCTGTGTCTGCTGTGTGCGCTGTGTCTGCTGTGTGCGCTGTGTCTGCTGTGTGTGCTGTCTGTGCTGTGTGTGCTGTCTGTGCTGTGTGCGCTGTGTCTGCTGTGTGCGCTGTCTGTGCTGTGTCTGCTGTGTGCGCTGTCTGCTGTGTCTGCTGTGTGCGCTGTCTGTGCTGTGTCTGCGCCACGGCCGGCAGACTTCAACGAGTGCGGCCTGAAGCCCCGGCCGTGCCAGCACCGCTGCATGAACACGTACGGGAGCTACCGCTGCTACTGCCTCAACGGCTACATGCTCACCCACGACGGCAGCTGCACCAGTGAGTGCACCACGTCACACCGCTCCACCACGTCACACCGCTCCACCACGTCGCACCACTACACCACGTCACACCGCTACACCACGTCACACCGCTCCACCACGTCACACCGCTCCACCACGTCACACCCCACCACCACGTCGCACCGCTCCACTACGTCACACCGCTCCACCACGTCGCACCCCTCCACCACGTCACACCGCTCCACCACGTCACACCGCTCCACCACGTCACACCGCTCCACCACGTCGCACCCCTCCACCACGTCACACCGCTCCACCACGTCACACCACTACACCACGTCACACCCCTCCACCACGTCACACCGCACCACCACGTCACACCGCTCCACCACGTCACACCGCTACACCACGTCACACCCCTCCACCACGTCGCACCGCTACACCACGTCACACCGCTCCACCACGTCACACCGCTCCACCACGTCACACCGCTACACCACGTCACACCCCACCACCACGTCACACCGCTACACCACGTCACACCACTACACCACGTCACACCGCTACACCACGTCACACCACACCACCACGTCACACCGCTCCACCACGTCACACCGCTACACCACGTCAGACCACACCACCACATCACACCCCTCCACCACGTCACACCACACCACCACGTCACACCGCTACACCACGTCACACCACACCACCACGTCACACCACACCACCACGTCACACCACTACACCACGCCACACTGCTCCACCACGTCACACCGCTCCACGTCACACCGCTCCACCACGTCACACGCCACCACCACGTCACACCACACCACCACGTCACACCGCTACACCACGTCACACGCCACCACCACGTCACACCGCTACACCACGTCACACCCCTCCACCACGTCACACCCCTCCACCACGTCACACCCCACCACCACGTCACACCGCTCCACCACGTCACACCCCTCCACCACGTCATACCACTACACTACGTCACACCCCTCCACCACATCACACCCCTCCACCACGTCACACCGCTACACCACCGAGAAGTGGCCACGCCACGCATCAGGTGGTAGCAGAGCTGGGCTACTCGCTTATTTAAATTACAAAATGAATGAGCAGATAATACGCCTTCCTAGTATATATGTCTCTTCTTCCACGTAGTTGTTACGCATTGCTATCGGGTGCATTCAAGACAAGCAAACGCTGCAGCCATCAGCAGTGAGGCTTGCCGAGCGCAGGGACAGATATATGAAGGAGACGTCTCGTTTGCCTTTTTTATTTCGTGACTTATATCCTCCACCACGACACGAATGGTTATTTTTTATTCTTTAAACAATCATCGATTCTTCTTCGATAGTTCCCTTCCGTCTTGGGTTCACCTCTCGCGTCATCCAATCTGCCTGGCTGGCAATAGAGCGGAGTTGGGGGGCAACCCAGGCGTGGCGCGACCGCAACGCCGCGTCTGCCACGGGTGTCCTCCCCTCTTACCCTCTTGCGAACGTCGCCATCGGGATCGCCGCGCGGCTGCGCACGAGAGGGCGAGCGGCTGGAGCCCGCTGGGCGTCCGCCTCGGCGCCAGCGATGTCGAGTGGCCGCTGCGGTCACCGTCCAGTGAGAGCAGGAATGCCCGTTTGCCGGACCGTCGCCCGTGACTTTGGCTCTCTGTGCGGCTTGTGCGGGCGCTACGGGCTCGGGGTTGTGAATGTTTTACCGCCGTGACGTCGTCGGTTCTCGTGTCCGAGTTATCGGGTCGCTGCGAGGTGGCCATTTTACGTTGTGGTTATCCGCAGCTTCGTGCGGTTTGCTCAGTCTCCTGGGTGGCTCTGGATCTCCGCCGGAGGTCATGACGGCCCACAGGGCCGTGTCCGGGAGCGGTACGAAAAGTAGGATATCGTGACAAATTGTGATGCCGCAAATATGCGTGTGCGCATCTCTGTCCGCAACCACGAAGCCTGTGTCACTCAGCGTATATAATGCATTTCATGAAAGTTAATAATATAACTTTTAATATATGCATGTCTAAGACTGACGAATAACTATAAGGGGGGATTGATGGCACAGTGATGATTTATATCGGGACTCATCATGGATGGCCCCCTTTCACTGACCGGCACGGTGAAGTACGCTCAATTAAACGCCATGACCGGGATGGTATGGGGAGGTCTTCATCCAGCAATGGATTGACAAATGGCTGTAAACTATGATTATAATTTATTCTGTGACTCGATGTAATTTCCACTGCCAATAATAATAATTCCTTTGGCAAGATTACCCGAAATGCACCTCTGCTAGATGAACGGAGAGAGAGGCTTATTTATCAAGTTAGAATGGTGCAAGGTGTATGTATATACAACTTGGCCTCAACTCTCAAACAAGTGTCATTCAAAACAAGTGAAACGGTGATTGAAAATCACTTGAGGGTTATTAGAATTCCAATGACCCTCACTGTCGCTGATTGTCAGTTACTGCCGATCGCTGGATTAATGCATTCACGTCAAGTAGCTGGCCAAGTGGAGGATACGTACAGACATCACACTCACCATCGCTATGATACGTACAGACATCGCACTATCCATCGCTATGATACGTACAGACATCACACTAACCATCGCTATGATACGTACAGACATCACACTCACCATCGCTATGATACGTACAGACATCACAGTCATCATCGCTGTGATACATACAGACATCACACGATCCATCGCTATGATACGTACAGACATCGCACTATCCATCGCTGTGATACGTACAGACATCACACGATCCATCGCTATGATACGTACAGACATCACACGATCCATCGCTGTGATACATACAGACATCACACGATCCATCGCTATGATACGTACAGGCATCACACTACCCATCGCTGTGATACATACAGACATCACACTATCCATCGCTGTGATACATACAGACATCACACTATCCATCGCTGTGATACATACAGACATCACACTATGCATCGCTATGATACGTACAGACATCACACTATCCATCGCTGTGATACATACAGACATCACACGATCCATCGCTGTGATACATACAGACATCGCACTATCCATCGCTGTGATACATACAGACATCACACTATCCATCGCTGTGATACGTACAGACATCACACTCACCATCGCTATGATACGTACAGACATCACACTCACCATCGCTATGATACATACAGACATCACACTCACCATCGCTGTGATACATACAGACATCACACTCACCATCACTATGATACATACAGACATCACACTCACCATCGCTGTGATACATACAGACATCACACTCACCATCGCTATAATACGTACAGAGATCACACTCACCATCGCTGTGATACATACAGACATCACACTCACCATCGCTATGATACGTACAGACATCACACTCACCATCGCTATGATACGTACAGACATCACACTCACCATCGCTATGATACGTACAGACATCACACTATCCATCGCTGTGATACGTACAGACATCACACTCACCATTGCTGTGATACATACAGACATCACACTCACTATCGCTATGATACGTACAGACATCACACGATCCATCGCTATGATACGTACAGACATCACACTCACTATCGCTATGATACGTACAGACATCACACGATCCATCGCTATGATGCATACAGACATCACACTCACCATCGCTGTGATACGTACAGACATCACACGATCCATCGCTATGATACGTACAGACATCACACTCACCATCGCTGTGATACATACAGACATCACACTCACCATCGCTATGATACATACAGACATCACACTCACCATCGCTATGATACGTACAGACATCACACTCACCATCGCTATGATACGTACAGACATCACACTCACCATCGCTGGGATACATACAGACATCACACTATCCATCGCTGTGATACGTACAGACATCACACTCACCATCGCTATGATACATACAGACATCACACTCACCATCGCTATGATACATACAGACATCACACTATCCATCGCTGTGATACGTACAGACATCACACTCACCATCGCTAGGATACATATAGACATCACACTATCCATCGCTGTGATACGTACAGACATCACACTCACCATCGCTGTGATACGTACAGACATCACACTCACCATCGCTATGATACATACAGACATCACACTATCCATCGCTCTGATACGTACAGACATCACACTCACCATCGCTGTGATACGTACAGACATCACACTCACCATCGCTGTGATACGTACAGACATCACACTCACCATCGCTATGATACGTACAGACATCACACTCACCATCGTTGTGATACGTACAGACATCACACTCACCATCGTTGTGATACGTACAGACATCACACTCACCATCGCTGTGATACATACAGACATCACACTCACCATCCTTGTGATACGTACAGACATCACACTCACCATCGCTATGATACATACAGACATCACACTATCCATCGCTGTAATACGTACAGACATCACACTCACCATCGCTATGATACGTACAGACATCACACTCACCATCGCTATGATACATAGACATCACACTCACCATCGCTGTGATACGTACAGACATCACACTCACCATCGCTGTGATACGTACAGACATCACAGTCATCATCGCTGTGATACGTACAGACATCACACTCACCATCGCTGTGATACATACAGACATCACACTCACCATCGTTGTGATACGTACAGACATCACTCTCACCATCGCTATGATACATACAGACATCACACTATCCATCGCCGTGATACGTACAGACATCACAGTCACCATCGCTATGATACGTACAGACATCACACTCACCATCGCTATGATACATACAGACATCACACTCACCATCGCTGTGATACGTACAGACATCACACTCACCATCGCTGTGATACGTACAGACATCACACTCACCATCGCTGTGATACGTACAGACATCACACTCACCATCGCTGTGATACGTACAGACATCACACTCACCATCGTTGTGATACGTACAGACATCACACTCACCATCGCTAT